GAAAATAAATCCGCACCCGCGAAAGCACACGTGTGTGCGCGATGTGTATTTTATTTAATTTTCGGATCGAAGCGCGCATTTGCACGGATCGCTAAAATATGTACGTAACAAATGTTCGCCGATGCTGTAAAACGTTATCGTTCGCGGCATGCATTAACACGAAAGTTAAATCGAGCGAAACATATGCGACATCGTCATTATTACCGTTATTTCTAGCTTTGTGTAAACATGCGCGAAAACACGTTGGATAACGCAATAATTTTTGTAAACTCAGTAAAATCGTAAAATCTATAAAGCATAATACACAATATAAAAATCAAACCGTCCCGCCGCGTGTCGCGTTATCGTATTTCTGATTACAATAATGCTTTATGCGTTTTCAAATAAATAACTTACGAAGTAATGTTTTTTATAGAGTTTCACTAACTCTAACTTCATAATTTTCATAAACAATTATATTTTTATATAAATTTGTATTTTTGTCGTTTATACTTCAAGTACGCTTAGTGCTTTGGGAGTAATTTAATACGGATAAAAAATCGAGATGGATTATGAAATAGCTTTTATCTGCCTTATTCAATTAACTTTTTCAGAGTTTCTAATTAGAATAATTTGTATTTAAACGTGCACGCACATAGACATTCTTTAAAGTATCTATTTTAAAAATGAAACTTTCGTACGTACGAAACTCTCTTTCCCTCTGACAACATAAAAGTGCTGAAAGTGGAGCTACAATCATAACACGTCGCTCGAAAGTTATTTTGCGGCCAGAATAAAAACTTGGACGACGGCAAACACACGAGACAGATATTACAGCGGCGTTTTCCTTTAAAGTCCTCTAGTCGAATTAATGACAGAAGTTTGTCGGAAGTAATAACGGTACCGCTGGCACTTTATTTAGTCTTGATATCGAGCATCGATTGGAGGTTCTATGAAGCCGATGCTGTCGTATGAAATAAGAGTAATGCTGTACATTATATCTGAGCATCCGCTTTTATTGAGTTCCCGAAACGTTTGGGAAACGCACGCGGATAAACTGATAATTGCCGATAAACCGGAGTCATATCGAGGTTCCTTTTTGCATGCGAGCTTATCGCAGTATGTGTGAAGGATTCGCGACTGCCACTAAGTACGTTGTATCGCCCAGTTTTGAATATCGATAAACTAACGTGGTGGAATTTTATCTTTCTGAAAAAAAGAACTCACTTGCTCTATCGTACATAAAAGCATACTTAATTTAAATTAATTAACTATCTATGTTGGTCAGTAATATCATATTCGCTCATGTAATTACGAACGCTACAAGCACCGCCAAAGAGTAATATAATACCATAAATGTTACGCGAAAGTAGATAATTAATACGTCGACGAAGCGCGTACTCCGGCCAAACGTTTAACGTTAAACTACATTAGAGTCACCACTACTGCCTCGTTTCGATATAACGTCCCGATACACATATGAATTGACAGTACGTGTATATTGGAGAAAATTGACACGTCGAGAGAAGATGCCATTAGGAATTTAATCATGGGAAACACTTAATTTCGATTCGCATATACATGCACGTGGAGGACAGCGTCAGCCTGGCGTATTTAGGTATTTTCCGTAACAATGTCGCTTCGATTTTGCGAACTTTCACAGCTTTCTGGGAATATCGCGTACTCACAATACCGTAAAAAGGATGATAATGTGCGTTTCTTGCAATGCGCTCTCCGATTTTAGTAACGTTGAATATTTTCTGCGTTCGCCACCCTTGAGCGAGCGATCCGGATGAGAGGGTCGTTAGCTCGCGTTGGCACGGAAGAGACTAGACGGGAATCTTATCTACGGATGCTGGGCACCGATCCAGTCCTTCCTTGTCTAGACGAGGGATCGACCCTAATATATGGCTCGATAAAGTTTTCTTTACTCGCGCGAACTTATTCAATATTCGTCAGCGAATTCTCCTTTCGTTAAGCGAGGCACGCTGTCGCGGTTGTTACGAGATTCGGTTTTCAATATAGAGATGCGATATCGCGGAGACGATGAAGCGCGTTTGAAAATAAAATAACCGGACAGGATGCGGTGAGGTAATTATTTGCGAGGCGCGCAAGGGATTCTACAAATTCGCGGGCGAAACGCCCATGCCAGTTTGGTTTCCGTGCCGTTGGTCTCTGAATATTTCTCCGTCGACTTTTGTATAGTTAGGTTCACAAAAGAGCGTGAGCTACGGGCGGACGTGTTATTGTGTCAGCAACGATACCATCCGACGTCCCTTTTATCTCCGTGTACGCGAAATATTGTTATTCGTAATGTGAAGCTCTATTCTCGGTAGCGCCGTTCGTCGATGTTAGTTGATTTTAACGTTTCGACAACGGTATGAGCAATCCGATCGATATAAATATTCAATAGAGTCTTTCGTGTCGCGATTTCTACGGACGATTTTGAAACTGTGGCGCGGTTTCGACGACATGCGTTTCCAGTCGCCAGTGTTAAATGGAGTGTACATTTTATATTGAGATCAACATTAATTGCGCGCGCTTTAGGTGTATCGAGGACAACAGGTGTCGCGCCCATACATTCTACATGACAAATTAATTGAGGATGTTGAATTACTTTATTGGACACGCGAGCTCTGTATAACGTATGTTGAGCATGCCGAACTGATATCAAAACTCAAAGCTCGAAAATCACGATATCGCAACTTCTGATGAATAATATGACATGGTGAGGTGATAAATATAACGCCAACGTGCGGAAGATTGTCTCGAGTAATTATTATTGGAATTAGAATAATTATGTAATCTGTACAATTAGAAAATTAATTATTGTCACACATTGAATGAGATCATCACGTTCGGCTAATACATGCGGAAAATCCATTTCACCGATTGATTTCCCTGAAATTTCCTCCTGAAGTAGTCTATGTAGAACAGCGCACGTACACATAGACTACGACAAAGAAGATCCAGATTCTGCAGTGGCAAAACTTTGGTCTTCGCGACAAGCCATCCCCGTTCATTGTCCTATCGACACTCTGATAGGGCAAAAAGGAGAACGGAAAATAGAGGTGGTTCGGAATTAAACTTTCCCCGGAAGACAATGGAAACCTACCTTGGTACACACGTTGAAAGGGACTACCAAGAACAATTCTCCGACAATATCTGTAGCGGAGACGACAGAAGTACGTCCTTCTGACGAAAAGTGTGGAAGGAAGAACGACGTGGATGGTACGCGCGCTACTCTCCCGAGTCGCTCTCATTTTTTATTGAACATTTTGTAATAATAACTGCGCATGCACGATGAATAGAGCGCTGTTTCTTATTGAAGACTAAAACCGTTTTCTCTTAGCCGCGTTTTCATGAACCCGATTCTTTTCGCAGTTTTAAATGTCGACACGATAGTTTTAGTAATTATGCTTAGAGTAAAAAAAGAATATGATTTTATCACCCATTTTTTCTCCTTTAAGAAGAAGCTTAGTCGATTAAAAACTTCATTATCTCGAGCTGCTAATTACTCTAAAAAAATTACGAAAACCTCCGTCTTTTCGTCAAGGACGAAAGAACAGTCGACCATAAATTGACTAAAGAATTTGCAATTAAAAGAGTAATACAATCGAAATGAAGCCTCCAATTAATCTATAGAGAATAGAGAACACGCGCAAATGAAAGAGGACAAATACCGCAGCATGTAAAAAAATTCATGCCAATTTTTATTACGTTCGAACGAAAACGAGAAACGTTGTGCGAGAAGCGTTTGCACGTAGGGAATGTGTCCCTCACCTTATAACGGATTCAATTACGCGGGTATCCGAGTCCGTGTAGCACTCGAGGTTACCATGATGTACGGGGTCATGTAAAATTTAAAAGTGACGCGCAACGTACCAAGACTGCTAACCGCCTCATGACTTGTGGTTTCCGTTTCGGCGTTATGGTGGCCATACTAACCGGTTTCGGTCGGAAACGGGACACCTCGTTCTCTCGGGGGAAATGTCTAAAAACGACCTGACGTAGCTCGCCCGCTCGCCTTTTCCTCCGTATATATATATCCGGTGCCCAAACATTTTCCTACGAAGCTCATCTTCCGTACCGTGTTAAAAATGCATCTCTATCTGTATCCGCACGATTTTCACTCATTTAACGACATAATTCATAAAAGAGGAACGTCGGCGTATTTTTTCACTTTTTTTGTATATATTGTATCTGCTTCTTCCCCTCCATATTTACTCTGCTTAAAAAGGCGATAAAAGATATTGGAAGTAGATTCAAATCTTATAATATTTTATCATAATCTAACACATTTTCAATCAAACATATTTTTGCCAAGATAGATATTATTTATTTCTTTCGTTTTTAATCATGCCTTGATTTAAATGAATAAAATCTTATCGAAATATATGTATTTTTTTGTATTATATGTTGATCTATCTAATTCAATTAAAAAATTACGATTCGATATCTATACGAATCCATTGTAATTCTGTCGGAAAACTTTCCATTTTTTTCTATAAATAATATGTTATAGNTCTCTCTCTCTCTCTCTCTCTCTCTCTCTCTCTCTCTTTCTGTCTCTCTCATATTATCAATTAAAATTACAATATGAAATTTAAATTGGAAAAATATTTCGTTTTTGCCGATAAACAAGTAACTTAAACGGTAGATTATATGTTTTAATTATATAAATAATGTAGAAAAAAGAGAAAATGAATTTATTAAACGTATCAAAGATAATAAATCTGAAATTGAAGAACCAAAAACACAATTTGATTTACATTGATTGACGTTTTACTTTATTGACATTATATAATTCTATCAGTTTTTTGAAACAAAAAACAAAGTACCCATTTTATTCTATGTACGTAGTATACTGCCTCGAAGATAAAGGATTTTTCACAACTGATTTCGAAGGGACTTTTTTATTGTTTCTTCAATTTATATCTGCATATATATAATGGCATAAATGCTGTATAAAACAATATTACAGCACTAAATGCCGTACTTTGTGTAATATACGGCATTAATCAGTCGGGTCTGTGATCCGTACCGAGAGGATGTATAACATGCAACTCGCTTAGGAATTGTATGAGAAGAAAGGATAAATAGATGGAATATAAAAGATAACCGTAGCTGCGACGCACCACAGCCCCTGTAATGTTCAGATAGATTATAGTTGCTATCAGAGAGCAGAAGAGAAAAGCTATGCAACCGGGTGCCATATCGCTGATCCTGATCTTCGTTTGTTGTTCGGGATCGGTAGCGGCAGCGATGCCATAAGTCAGCCCCAGTCCCAGTAGAGTGTTAAACATCGGTCCGCCAAAGCAAGCTGCATAACCCATGCGCGGAAATCCCTGTCTGGCGATGGTGATATTCGATATGAGATCTGGACAGAGTTTCAAATTACCTTGCTTGTATCTTAACATAAGCACGGGGATCTTTCCTGGACAAATTGATATCGGATACATTCAGCCTTAAGCAAATAAATCGTTATTATTATTATTAATTAGTTAAAACATTGCGGACTTGAGATGTGAATTGACTTCTTTAGCGCTTAAAAATTGAGAATCAGAATTTAATTTGAATATAAACTTTCTTTTTTTTTATAGAGATGAAACGTTGTATATATCCGTAAATTATGTTTAGTTATCCTTTTCACAAGGATATAAATATTTTAATAGATATCATATCAGAGATATCACTAGTGAATTTATTAATTGTATATTTAAATTTCGGGTAACTATATACGTAGTCTGCGATGTGTCCGTAACGGTTATTATTCGACAATCGCTGAAACATATCGAAATTCACGCTACTTGATGCTGCGCTGTTATCTTCCCGCCGCGTGTGGAAATTCAATCCAAAACGGTTTTATCTCGTCTACCATGTTTTTCGTTACCGTACGTACTATCCTCAAGTATCTCTCCAGGAGCATTTCTCACTCGACTCACCCCCGATACTGTTTCCCCACGCAAGAAAAGTGATGCCTAACATTGCGTCGGATATGCTGCATGCGTATCCTATGCATTGAAGTACCGCCATGACCTCCCTGGCCACCAAATAAACCACCAACATGGCAGCTAAGAATCCAAAGAATGCGAAGACCTGCAATCGATGATGTTGCGTGCTCTCATACCAACAATAAAAAGAATGCCTATCAAATATGTTTCTTTTTTTATCATATATAACAATATCGTGAGCGCGTACAAAATTCTCATCGTTCGCTTGCGTAAAATAGAAAGGAAACTCACATTATGAAATTTCGGTATGCGATCAACGTGGGTTATTGCAAATACAATTATACCAATCACAATGCCGATGACGAAAAATATCGGTATCACTGACACTTTGCCAATAGTCTGGTGCCAAACTGCAACGGAACAGTTAAAAACATTTGAAGTTGGGCGTTAATGACCAAAACTATATCGATACGACGAGTATCAATATAATGATTATGCATTATTAACTATCTATTTTATAATTGAACATTCTAGAAAATTTTACTTTTATAGCATTGTTAAAAATTAAATTATGCCAAATGGATATATTTCCTCTGAATGTATTTTTGTAAGTTGTTAAAGACAGCGATTTTTAATTTGAGTAATGTAATGTATATAATGAAACAAATAAGTTTTGTCTATAGTCGAGCGATATATTTTCTTCCTTCGTGGAAATAGAATTATTGAAAAGAATTACCGTCAAGTTGAGATAATTTTTAGAGCTTGTATCTTTTAATAGCAAGCAAAACTGTCTTGAATAATTTCTTATTAGCACACATATACAATTTATAACTGTTGTAATACAAGATTACAAGCAACCTAGATGACTGAGACTAACCATTTAGTAGAAACAACGCTATCGTAGGCGTCACGGACAACTGGAAGCAATTCAGCAGCTTTGACCAACCCTTCTTCGTGGCAGTAGGGTTCACCACCGGTATAAACAGCTGAAGTAGGAACATAACAGGCGAACGTATAATTAAGACAACCTTGAACAACCCACTCGACGTCTCCCAATCTTCCCTGCTAATCGGATTGACATCGTACAAAAATTCCCTGTAGAGACCCTTCGGTCGATCGAGAGCATAGTCGTTAATTTTCGAACTCAACCGGACAGAATCGCCCCGTATTATAGATCTGTTTCTTTCCGCTGCAATGGCGACATCTGGCTTACCCAAATGTACAGAAATTCACAAAAATTATTAAAATCAACATATTAAAATCAATATTATAATATAAATTAATATTAATATAAATCAATATTAAAATCACATACAACATTAAAATCAACATATTGAAAAGTTCGAAGTAAAAATCAATCGAGTTTGTGATATTTAAGATCAACCGAAGAAGCGAATAGCTGTCGTAACAAATTATATATTATCATGCAAAGATAAATAGTGGTTTTGAGTAATACACGAGTGGATTGATGCATCGTACGAATATTCAACTTGCGAGAAAAAATGGCGTGGTTTCGAGAAAGTTGAAACTATTGAAAAATGCAAAGAAATCGAAAACGTGGATGTATGCGACGAGTCGTAAAAACGATGCCCGTACCTAGCTTGGCACGTAAGCCAAAAGGTCGGCTTCTAGGGGGAATCTTGGGTATGGTGTCTATGTCCCTGTTCGCCAAGTAAGTATGCAGAACGTCTGGATCAGGTACACTCGGGATCCTAGCTGAAAGTACGTAAGAATGTTCCCGGATAAAGGAATCGAGATTTAACACGGGTGAAAATTTTCTCTAGGCTATAAGGAACGAGTCATCTTTTCCGCATTTCTACAGCGAATTCAAACGCTTATGAAGAGATTCCCTCGTAGGATAGCGATGGTTTCCGCTGTGAACGCGCGCTGAATCGCATGGAGATATTTTAAGAACGTATCTTGCCCGCGCGGGTCGGACTCTCGCAGTGACGAGTCGAGAAGTATCATTAGAGCGAACGTGTACTTTAGAAAAGTTACGAATTCCCGAAGTTTTCGTTCACCGTCCCAAGACTCTTAAATAGGACAGCAAATACACTTTCGCGATCTTTCTCGGTAAATCAAAAAGCCTAGCGACGCACTTTTCAGGCTCTCTTCCCTGGCGTCGTACATCTGCATTATCACGACCGCCACGATGAACAGTACGTAGACCAGAATAAAGCCTGCAATTAAAATGTATCAGCATTAAGAAGCATTAGTGTCGCTCGGCCCACAAGGTTATTCCCCTGCTCGTACTGTCGCAATAGCGAATAACCTTGCATGTATGATATTACGTAAAAAAAAGAGGGGGGAAAAAGAAAAGGGAAAACTCACAAACAGCGTCCCATATATCTTCCTTTTCATTAGAAGAAAAGATTTTAATTACTCCTTTTCCCTTTAATATACGAACGAGAAGGAAGTAATACTAAGGGCGGAATTCATTCTGAGATTTCTTAATGAAGAAAACAATAAGTGGATGCGCATACTGAATTTTAGTACGCGCCACTCGCTCTTTGTTTTGTTGCTTATAAAAAGAATGCGCTTATTTATATACGCATAGTCCGTATTAATCGACATTGCTCGGAAGAATTTGACTGTCCGTCTGAGTAAAATCGAGTTTTTGTCCGTTTGCCTGTTTGCTATCGCGTAGCGCGATATAAGAGGGAAATGAATCAAGATATTTAATGGTTTTATACGCGTCGCTTTATAACAGTCTCTCTTTGTGCGAGTGCAAAATTATTTCCACGGGCTTTATGCATTGCAACAATAATCCCCGCGTTTCCTGCGAAACGGACTTCTTGCCTCTCGGAACCCCGCAAAAATTCATCGACAGTCAGATTGCGAGCCAGCCAGCAGGTGGGTATGTGGGAGAAGGGGGAGGGGAGGAGTGAGATTGTGGCGTAGCTTAATTAAATTCGCTGAAGAATTATCGTTATTCCGGAATGAAACCACTTATGTGGTTTCCCGCGGATAAACTTTCTCGCTCGTTGTGACGTGTCGCTGATCCGGTGTGTGAAATACCGATAGGTATTATCAAATACCATCGAAATTATTCTTGTCCAACGGTAAAGCCAATATTGCAGCTTAATCATTTCGATCGGTATTCAATTGCTCATTTAAGTGCTTAATTGGAGTAACAGTGAAAAACTTTTACCATATTCTGTAAAAATGCAAATATTGCCATTTGCTCCTTTATCGACAGTTCGTGAAGATTAATCGATTAGAGTCGACGGAAATTGCCAGTGCTTCAAACCGTCTGTAATTTATTCGATCGCGCAGACCAAAAGAAAGAAAGGTCGCGATTATTTTACGTTTATTCTGCTTGGCTATTGAAGCATAAAGAGTCGACATTAGCATTGAGGTACGAATAATAATATTTGTTTAATACTCCGTACAGAAAGTGATGGAAGAAATGCACGCATAAAAATACTTTTCTGTAATTTTTCTAGAATATAATCGTGTTTCTTATACTTTTCCCGCATGATAAAATGAGCGTTAACCCGCTCCCAGCTCCCAATGCATCCTCCAGGTAGCACAATATTTTTGACTTATAAACCATCGAAATAACACTGCTAATCTATAACATAGCTCTAAGTGTTCAGTTTAGATACTAGTGACTCTAAGACAAGTTGTCAACACTGAATAAAAGCGATACATAAGCGAAAAATAACCTTCCAAACTTTATCATTACCACTTTTTGAAACACTCAAAACCTATAAATTTGGTTTCCTTAGGTTCCAAAACATGAGATTTCCTAAGAGGAAACAGAAATTTGTGGTTTCAATTCATTTGGGAACTGACGGGTTAAATATTACACTGTTAATTATTTCCGATACATATTTATCGTTATTAAAAAAAATCAGACGTGTTTAATCATACAAGGATACAATTTACAAAGTCGATAATATTTGGAATACAGTGTCAGAAAGAAAAGACGTCACTTTTTCTCTAAATAGAGATTTATATATAATAACTATTTGTTCTAATTTTACGCTGTTTGCAGCCTAGTAAAAATGAAAAGAAAATTACATTAATTTTTTATTTTTATTATACTTGTGAATGAAATGAGAGATATACGTCAAAAAGGAAGATACAGAGTCGCATATGGGGATGGGCACAGAAGAAAGTAAACCGATATCGCCCTATCGAATTTGAATAAAGATAGCGGACGTACTTACGGCCTCCCAGAGGTGAACCATATCGTCCCATACCACGAAGGTTATCCAGCATATGGAGGTGATGTAAAAACAAGCGTCCCTCATGAAGGATTTGAGCGAAACTTTAAAAGGCTTAATTATCGCCACGGACCCGGCGATCATCGAGGTTACGAAGACACCCGCGCCGATTAATTCAGTGAACATTATTATCGTTCCGTCGCCTCTCGACACGAGGGACGTGAAGATGTCAGGCGCACCGTTTCCGAATGCCAATATCGTCACTCCCGCTATGCTGTCCGATAGACGCATTACAGTGGCTATTACCGCTAGTGATGGACAAAAACTGAAATAAAAATGTTGCATTGATTAATTTCCAACATTTATCTGTATCTCTCGTGTGTTGCGGTATTTAAGCTGTAATTAATTTTAGTACTTTAAAGGCGCGTTGAAAAGAAATGTTAAGATTAAAGAGATGTCAATTTACGATTTATTCGTTGATTACGTAATGATCCCATTAATAGCATTTAAAATATGAGAAATACGTAAAGAAGTACAGATCTGGGAGAGAGGGAAGAAACTTTCGGATAACGTTTGTTTGAGACGCGCGTTACTAAACTAACATCGCTTACACATGTCCAGCGTCCGCTGTTTCATTGTGCGCTGAGAATGTGTTTCTCGCAGAAAAGTAAGTTTCCTCTCTTAACCGAGTTTCAGCCATTATACTGGCCACAGATCAAAGCTAAACTCCGACGAACTCTCCGCGATATAAGCACAGTCGCGTTTCTACTATTACAAACGCGGCGAAATAAATGTTACGAAAGTTCTTAACGATCTTTCGAAGTACCAGGGATTTGTATGATTATCGAGCCAGCGTTGGGAGCCAGCGAGGTATCGAATACAAACGTGGGTGAAACTTCTGTTAAATCGCGAGTTATAAATTCACAACTTATATTCCGTATTACACGCGATACATGCCAATTTTTACTTTTGCATGCTATTTAAGGCGATTTATCCGACAAGTGGAAAAATTTCTCGTTAATACATTGGTACGTAAGTACCGACAGAAGCGCGACCGGAAGATTTCCGGCATTTCGGGATCCCGTTATTGGATGCACTTCTACGTGGCAATTTGCCATTTTCCCTGATATTTGTACAACCGGAAGGGACGGGCGAACTTTCGTTTATCATTTCGAAAGGAACTGCTCTATAGAACGCAGACGGTTGAAATAGTGGAGAGCATGAATCTTTCGATTATTGGCTTGGTTAGTTGCCAGAAGTCAAAATTCGTTGTACTCATGTAATCATCTATATTCTGTAGACAGTAACACGTTTTCTCATCGGGATCGAACTTGGCCGAGGTCCGCAATTTCGCTACCAAGAAAAGGTGCAATCTCATTGTTACTTGCTCTTATATCATGTTCTTGTAAGCCGCAGTCGTGATCGATCATTGTTTGACAAATGATCACAATATCGTTGTATAGTATCTCTCTTTTTTCTTTTCCTCTACATTCATTTATAAATATAAATAGATATTTTACAATCATCTAATTTATATGCATGTCCAAGTTTATGATTATTCATTGCGAAAGTATATTCAGCTAAAATAATCTTTAATGCAGAAGGTTCAATTAAAATTTACACTTGGAAAAAATGTATGCTATGGATTTTAAATAATTGTCACTTTCTCTCAAAGACTAGAAGTAATCTGCATGTATTCCTAAGTACGAATGCCAGGCGTAAAAGTTTAACTTACAAATTACTTACAAATTGTCCGCCGTAGTCCCCAAGATTAAGAATAAATAGACTAGCCATAGAAGCAAGAGAACCAAGCCGCAGGCAAACAACGCCACGTCTTCGGATTTAAAATAGCAGAACAACAGCACCGTGTACTGAATCACCGAGTCTGCGAAGCAGTCTTCGGTGTTCCTCACCCACTCGCAACGCTTCGCAGCGGAAACTTGCCAAACGTACGAGCAATCGTCCTGAAAAAAAGATTTGACGAAGAACTCGACGGGACGCGACTGAAAGAGACGTCGATAACAATTCACCTCTCGTATGGGCAGATGCCCGTGTCTTAAAAAAGTGCTCGATATTTGCGACCTCATGTTCGAAAAGCATAAAAGCACAACGAAGCGATATGTAACCTATATTTTGTGTATTTGCCTTTCACGGATCCGCTCGATCGTTGCCTATTCAAGTAGAAGCGAGCGAAACTTCAAGCGATATAGACAGAAAGCTGTCACATACGTAACATATGTATGCGCGTACGCAATTCGAAACATAAATTCAATATGATGTATATACTAAAAGAATTCCTGACAGTGACAGCACACATACGGGGGACCGCCTTTGTATCGGTTATCGGCACAAAGAGAGTTTTAAGAAAAATGAATATCACCATTTTATAATGTAAATGTGAAACATTGATTGTATCTTTCGGCTTCATTTATGACGCAACATTTACGAGAGGCAGCATCGAGTACGATCAATGCTAAACGGAATCGATGTACGCAAATGAAAGCAGCAGTTTTATCTGATCACATTTCTAACCTAACCAAGGAACAATGTCTCTTTTCGCGAGGAAAAAAATTGTACGGTCATCGGGTTCTCTTCGCTGCAGGAGTGTGTGCACTCGAGAATGCTGCTCGACGATGCCATGACGATGAGGTGAGACTGAACGGGAACACTCATCCACACTTGTCTGATAACAACGAGAGGCTCATTAGACGCAGAGCGTCCCTTCTTCTTTTTCCCTTCCGCCCCATTTCTGTCGGTGACGAGGCGATGGAAAAAAAAAAGAACGACAGTAACGAGCACGGAAAGAAACCTCCTGGCAAACGGACATGCCGTCACCTAACGCCGCGATATTATATCGACACTTATTCGATATTATTGTCAGCTTACGATAATGAAAATTCAATGATACGTCGCGCGAGTAGACGGCGACAGTTCGTTAGGTCCATTATTACAAACCGAGAACTTTCACAGTTGTTATCAGTTTTATGGGAGAATACTCACGGATAGAGGACGTTCTGGGAACAATGCGAGAACGATTTTACTCAAAAAGTTCGCCGAAGGTAATTCAGCGGGCGAAATATCGATAATGTTATTGTGCTATGTTGAAATCGGTACTTATTGTTAAAAGACTAAAACCGGACAAAATACGCGTACATGTTAAAATGCACGATCAATATCGTGGAATTGTTTTCTTTTTTTTTGACGAATTGTGGTATTGTTGAAATCGGTCTTGAATCATGTTAAAATTGTTAAAGCGTTATTGATATTAAAATTGACCATGAATCGAAGGGAACTTAAGGTCACATTGTTCGGATTAAAAATAAAACCGCGTCGATATTGCTTACGTTATAAGTATTAATATTTGAGGAATTATGGTTAGTATTTTAGCATTAGCGGGAAAACCTTAGTCTTATAAATCTTGCTTATCAGATAAACGCAGTGAGCCCGCAAAAACGATAAATTAGAGCTAGTTGGGCAAGGGCCGAATAGTGATAAGAACCATAATAAATTAGATTCAAGAGATTTGTTATTTTAGCGTAAAATTGCAGGAGGCTTTTGATCGGGCACTCGACTGATCTCTCCCCTCCTTCCTCTCTCCTTCCACCTCTCTCGATGAAAGGTCATAGAAGAATTCGCACTGACGTCTATCAGTCTATCTCTATTGTTGCCTACTTCCTAACAACTTTCCATTAAGCCCACCTTTCAACGGCAGCGTACTTCTTCGTAATTGCCAACTTCAACAAATTGTCATTTATCGCTAGACTTCTTTTGTGCTGCTTTCGCTCTAAACACTTTATTGAATTGCATTCACAGGGCACAAAGGAGGCAACGGCTTTACCCCAATTTATACTGCGCTTTTATTCTCCCTACGAGAGCCAAGCGCGCTCGCTTGGCTTTTCCGGTTTCCTGTTTTGGCTCTCTCTACCGCCTGCACATTTATAATAAAGCGCGTGAGTGATATAAGGCTAGAATATGCAAAAGCTTCTTTCCGTAGTATAAGACGACTCGTACAATTAATGTAACGGCGCGCCCGGCATTGTGTTGTTGAAACCGAGTATGTGCGAGTGTACACACTCGGTTATGCTCGGACTGCGCTCCGTGTGTTTCAGAGAATAATTCATACCAGAGATAAAACGAGTGCTCGTTGTAAATGTTAAAATAACGACGCAATTTATCTCAATTGTATCGGTCATCTCGAAAAGGCCGCGAGATTACTTTTATCCAGGAATCCGCGACTCTCATTAAATGTGGTTTCGTGAAAATGTGTTTTATCGTACAGTAGCCAATTCAATGATTGTACTAAGGATCCGCCTGGAAAAACTCACGTCAAGGAATTACACGGTTAAATGAGCAAGTGCAAAAAACAGCGCGGTTCGTTTAACGTAATAATACCCGTATGCAAAAGAATGAATAAATCGCGTTCTGATATTTTTGTCAGTTGCACCATCTCGTTTCACTCGGGGCGGTTATGTATCTGGGATAAAAACTAAAAATGACAGGTACATCACGGACGCGTGCATCGCTCAGAAAAATTCAACAGCAGCCGATGGTTCGAACGAGTGAATTGCTCTAACAACACAATATTCATATTCTCTGTGGCATCAAGATCCTTCTGTCGGATGTATTGAGTCCAAATCAGGATCTAAAAGACGTAATTTCTTCATTTAAATCAGCTTAGTGTCTAATTGATCGCCTGTTACGATAGTTGTATGTATAATCGATCGAGGCGTTTCGCATATCGGATTTGTAGAAATTTCCTTCGTGCTACCGGTATTATTGCAATCAAAACGTCGGTCATCTGAGCTGTATTTATTACATCAAGCCACGTTGAGTCATACCGGGATTTCGAGTAACGAAGGAAATTCAATTAATCTGAGAGTACGGTCGTTCGTCTGACAATTATCGGTAGACTTCCAATAACTTGTTGAAACAGATGCTTTCGACAGGTGTTCGCGAAATCGACAAATCTTATTCTTCCTCGAATATTAGAATCTTTAACATTTCGTTTCATCCAGTCGATACACGCAAAGGAATTGGTACGGAACCAAATGAAGTTTTAAATTTCAAGTATGTTTGTTACATCTCCAAAATTTTACACAGTGCCTTTTATTAGAAAAATCATAAAAATTACATAAAAAAAACTTAATTCATTCACAACGAGTATAAGCATCGATAAAATTGCATATTTTGCAAGAAATATGTAGTTAAGTGCACTTTTTGCAAGGATTATTTTATTTTTTTATCCACAATGGATACTTTATCTCAAGTATATTCATACATCTTGTGTTTAGAACATTTGTCTCTTTAGTGATCCTTTTCTACTTGCAATGCAACAGACTGAGCAATTTATAAATTAACCAAACTATGAACACTGCTATGAGGTTACCATTATCATTAAAGCAACATCCAGCAGCATATACTGATACCACGTTAACTCCGCAGCACGCATTTTTAAAAAATTCATGTCGCGGTGAAACGTTCAGCAAATTGCTTCTTCTAACAGCGATGCCGAGCGATCTTTAAATTGAAGGGAAGCTTTTCATGTCATTTGCGTATAATTGTAACATGTGCAATCAATTCACGCATAACGTTAATGGTAGATATATTGTTAGTCAATCATAAAATTTAGATTTTGATTTTTACGTCAAATATCACTTTATTGCTTTCAGCGAAAACAATTATTCACTAATCATGTAATCACCGTCATTATCCATAATCCTTCGCTAACGGTAGCATTCACGTGTAATATCTTTATTGTAAATACATACTACCAGAACATTTAATTGGTACTTCGAGAAGTGCATAGAAATATGGTGTTTAATTAAATCGTTACAATAGCAAACGTAGCGTTTCAATTTTAACCGAGAAATATTGCTATTATCATCAAAGTAAGCTATAAGTGTACGCTACGCAAAGACATTTTAATTTTTGAAGCAAAAACTCTACTTCGTGTTCGTTAACGGTTCTTTTAAATTGCTCCATAAATGTTCGTACGAAAACCGTTGGAAATCCAATTGAAGTGCCAGATCCTTTTCCACAAAGTAGGCCATGTTCAAGTACTGATCGCCGTAGAGGGGCATTCCTAAGATCGGCACCCCACGGTAAACCACTTCTTGCGTCCCCAGCATCCCTCCGTGAGTGATAAAGAGTCGTGTATTCGGATGGACTAGACAGTTTGTGATAAACGGGTGCTGTTATCTTCATTTGCAGCATGCATTTTCATACTATCACAAAAGAATTATAAATGAAGCTTGAAGTTAATCATTAACTTCTAAAATTAAAGATTATTCACGAACGCTTAACATTTATTTTTTTCTCAAGAGTCTATTCTTTGCATTAACATTTTAATCTTCTATGAAACTTCACTTTTTATCAGTACAACCTTCAAGCGGAATTTTTCTCTTTCGAGAAGACACGTGTCTGAAAAATTTTTTAAATCAATGTCAGTTAAATGGGTTTCAGTTAGAGCGTCCTCTTTACAATGGCATAAATTAAAATATTACTGCTATTCCGTAACTAATTAAACATTTCAACAGCTTTTTTCGAGCTTTAATCTCAATCAGAGTGAACATTGCGAGTTAACAATGATTCTTGGGCGTTGGATTTGAAATTTACGCGTAAAAAAATAGAGCCGTAATGGCGGTTAAAACGAAGTAATAAGGATAACGAGGTTGATTGCATAATATAGCGAAAATGGAATTTCGTGAAAAGCGTTGGCCACGCGGCGGTGGTTTACGGGAGAGAACGGGCGAATGCCTGAAAATAATTTGTTCTCTCTTCAGGTGTGCGCGGACTGCATCCTCATAAAAACGAAAAAACGCAGAACGAGTCACGTGTACCTGCGCGTGAATATAGATCGCATGAATTGTGCGGAGGATATATGCAGGCACGTGCCGTGGATATAAGCGCAATTATTTTCGTCGGTGGCGCCGCTTGTGTAAAACAATCGATTATTTGCGAAATCGGGAAACGTCGCTGCGTTAAAGGCATCGTCAGAAACAAAATTACCTAATCGTGCGATGTACAAAATCACTTGGAGATCATTAAGTGTTTTCCGATTCACCAGTGCATGTGTAATTACGTGTAC